TAATAATTATTTTAAAATAAAAAGAGTAATTAGTTTTAAAAAATTACTTTTATTTCACTTTATTTGACGTTTTCCCACAAGAAGTTATACTAAAATTCTAGTTTAGTAATCGACATGGTAGGTGATGGTAATTTTTATTATACCAGGTGAGTGGTAAGGGAGAATAATTGAAAAAATAAATCAAAATTCTTCATTGCAACTCCTTGAGTTCAGCATGGGCACACAATCATAGAAAATGGGGTCCTGAATTCACCAATTTATTAGGCGGAGTTATTAATTGCAGAAAAAAAGTCTTCTATTCATTTATGAAGCAAAAAGCCGAAAGGTTTAGAAGTAGCTTCTGCTCCCACAATTGTACCTACTCTTTTTTCCTACCCAATGCAGTGACATGTATATGCTAGGCTATCAAATCAACATCATGAGGGTGTTTCAAATCCAAATGGACTTACACGTGCTGTAAAGTTTTTGAAGCCAAAAAACCAAGGAGATGCTAGTTGAATAGAGAACCAACCTGGAACATTTTCACTGTCTACCTGATCTGAACTCTGTGATGGGAAAAAAGATGAGTATTACAGTCAGTTACAATGCAGTGAAAGCATTCCATTCATGTATTGCTTTCTGACCTTCTTATACTTCTCATGCAGTACCATGTAGCCTCCACTAACATCTTTGTATTGCACCTCACTACAGAATTTAGATTTAATATGCATGAACTCAGATTCTGCCTTCTCCCTGTGTTCAACATACGGAGGAAACATCTTTTGAGCTGCCATAAAGGGTGCATCCCAATGACTTTCTTCAACAGTTTCACTCTCTTTGCTAAGAAACTGTAGCCACCTTATCCGTTGAAAGGGATCCTCATTTTTCTGAATAGCCGCTTCCACACTCTGGATTGCTTCAGAAAAGCTTGCTTTTGAACTAATTTTTCCTATTAAGTTCCTGAATGTTGATCTTTGGTTTAGATCAAGCCAGCTATTGGTGTCTGATGGTTCAGAGATTGCAGCAACCAAGCAAGCTTTGCGGAAAGTAGGATCTGAATCACCAAGTAACCCAATACTAACATGTAACAACTTGACAGACATGAAATCTAGAATTCTAGATAAAGAGCTAGAAGAAGCAGGATAATGTTGATGTTCTGTCTTGCTCCAGCTAAACAGTGCAACATGCACAAAACCCTCCCACCTGTACTTTAAACACAGCATAACAAGTTAAAAACTTTTCATTTCCACAGAATTTCTGCAAAGTTAAACCGTTTATCATTAAATCTTTGGACATAGTTCATCAAATTTTGCTTTTTCTACTCTCCACATCTTTATTATAAAATCGAGGTTGCAATGAAAAGCATGTTCGCAGTTCACATCAAAGCCAAATTAAACCATGTTAGTTTTCAGAATTAGAAGAAAATCAAACTCTCACCAAAAGCACAGACATTTATTATGACAAATAAGTGAGAATAAAAACATCCAAGATAGTATCCTCTATTGATACCTGGCTAAAAAATAAAAGTATCTATACTGAAAATTGTGGCAGATAATTTGAATGAAATGTAAAACCTATTCTCATTATAATTGACACAGACTCCATCTAAATGACAAAATATATGAGAAGGATCATCCTAGATCATCTTTCCTAAGACATTGGTTCAAAAATAGAGTCTCAATGTTCCCCAAAGACACGTGCTAACCAAATAATTCAGTCAACAACATGGGTCAGTCCACATGCAATGTTTGAGTTATCAGCTTTTATAAGTTATTACTCCAATCAGTGATGAGGTTTCCATTTTCAAAGTAGATAAAATTGAATTGGTTTAGTTACATAGGAAAACAAGCACAGAAACAACCTTGCTATATCTACATGTAAGTTACAACTAGCATATCTTTTTTTTTTTAATCAGCTTGTAACTAGTATATCTAAAGTAGTACTAATTCATGAGGAACCAGGTAGGCAAGTACACCACCATGGTGGAACCAGGATTCTTCGTATCAAATCCCTAACCAGGGAATAATCCTAATCCAACAAAGTACTGTATAAAACAACATAATTTTAGTCTTTTCAATAAAAATCATATAATATGCCATCCATACACACACAATGATTTAGAAAAAAGGTATTGTTTTATCACAGAAAACTATTGACTTGGAATCTTGTCATCATAAAACAACCTCACTAAATTTAATCATCAATGCAACCTTTAGAAATTAACCAAAAGAAGAAATAGTTACTGCAGGAGCATTACATTCGTAATACATGGAGGAAAGAGGGGCAAGAGGAATAGCAATAAAACCAATTGAATTATCAGAATCTAATAACACTTCTTGAAAGTTTACTTACTCAAATGGAGGTTCAACCTCAATTCCAAGTGTTAGGTGCATTGAAAATTCAGCAGGTTCATCATGTCCACCATCATCTGTAGATGCTTCATGAGGAAAACCCCTTGGAATATATAAGATATCGCCTTCATTGAGCAAAAGTTGACTGCATTCAGCCATTGAACTATCAACTGTTTCAATGCTGTGGGTGTCAAGAGCATCATACAAATGAGGCAACTGCATATTTGGCTGAGAAAAAATTTTCCATCGCTTACTTCCAAAAAGCTGACACACAAACACACAGTGATCATCATAGTGACGAGCCAAGCCCTGAGAATTGGGAGGTGTCAAGTAAATGTTGGCCCCTGCTGATGGTTGACCAAAGAGAGAAGCTAATCCATCTGCAATGGCAGCAACTTTCTCAGAACGGAATTCCATGCCACGCATAGCAATTGTATATCCCTCTTTACATGCTTCTTGACATTTTAAAATATCACGAATCAATAAAAAATGTGGAGCCTTGACGCCACAAGAGCCTGGATTTTCTTGAAAAAAATGCACCTCGTCTTTTGAGTGCTTGTCTGTTTTTACGATCCGTATATCCTGCTCATAGATTGGAGGACAACCCAATTTACTTCTAACCTCCTTCAGGAAATTAAAGATGTCTAACTCATCTGAAACTATAGGCAGACAAGAAATTTGCCCTTGAAGGATAGAAGGAACAAGTGATGGAAACAATTTTTCACAACTTAAAGATTGAAAAATTGAGCTGAATATGCCATCCTCATTCAACAAAACACTAGAGGACCCTCTTAGCAGAAAGGGAGAGACTTCCCAACGGTTTAATATGAAATCTTTGAATGTGAAATCACTGAAACAAAAGATGTTTCTCTTAACTGTCTGATGTGAATAAACTGCAGGTGGTGTGACAATTATGGAAAGCCTAAAAATGCTTTCAGCAAGACTATTGATAGTGATATTGCTCAGGTAAAAGTTCTTCAGTTGACAGCATTCTAAAACATTTTCATTTAACATTTGATTGTGAACTTTTGACCAAAGTTTTTTCAAGAAGAGAAAAAGATCTTCTGAGAGATCCTTTGGAATATTTTCTAGTTGCCTAATGTTGCATGTATTGATAAGATCAACCACCACATCATGAAGTAATATTGTAAGTTCATCATCCTTAATGCCCAACTTGAGAGAGGAAATATTTCCATGATCACGAGTGCACAAAAATCCAGGAAATGATGATCTAGAAACCTGAAGAAAGGCAAATCTGATAGATATTAAGTTAAACTTAAATGAGTAACCTTTTGCAATGAAAAGATCTTAAGAAACTGGGGAAGTAGATTAAAAACTACATAAAAGAAACAGGAAAAAAAATGAGCAGAACTAGAGAAAAGAGATATTGATTGTTGAGAGCTTTTTCTCTAGTCCAATTTTGTTGGCCTTTAAGGTTTGTATCACTCCCAGATGGTTACTGATATAATAAGCTCGATCCTATTTTCCAAAATAGTTATGTTACAGAGACTTACAAGGAGAAGTCTAGAGACTAGACCTTCGCTAGAGTATGGTGAATCATACTGGAAGTAACTGAAAGGTGAGACCCAAGATCAGAAGTCACAGATTCCAGTAAATCATTTTTCTTTTCATCCTTTTTCCTTTCTCTAAGGTTATAATGACAAATTTTAGAAAGTACAAGAAATGGCCTTTAGCAAATGTATGCTATTGATGACAAAACCTTGGTGCAACTGCCTGAGGCTACAAAAGCACGGAGAAAACCAGGAAACAAGAAAAGTATTATTAAAAAATGTCATTCAGCAGGCTTTAGGATTATATCTAAGGAGACTGATGCTGACCATGAATTTATCAAGGACAGTGAAAATGTTGACGGCTTACAAATTTAGCTATTCAGTAGCAGGGGGAAAAAACACACAAGTGAAGGTTGTTAACCAAAAAATTTGCTCATAAGCAAAAGCACCCGCCCAACATTTTGTGTTTTTCTCTCTAGATTTTTAGCTGAGTAGAAAAATAAAGCCAGAGACTAACAGGGAAAAAAAAGAGGCACTAAATCACTTACAATTAAGAGCCAATTTTCTAAGAAAATTAAGTTCCACAACATGCACAATGAGGCCACGCATAAACAGAAGTCAATAAAACTAAATATATTTCAAAAGGGTAAAACTTGATTGAATTTGGCACTTACATAAGAGTCTGCAAAGCAGAGAAATGAAGCAGCCGCTGTCTTCCTACAGAAGTCGTACACAAATCCAAAAGGGCATTGCATGCAGCCACCGAAACATTCCTCTCGGACTTGATTACCAGAGAAGCCAAAGCCTTCACAGTTTGACAATCACAAGCAATTTGTTCATTGATCTCCAAAGACACCAGTGATGCCGCCCCCACAATCTCAGCACTGCGACTAGCAATTGCAGCACTTCTGCAACAACAAACATTGGATATCAACCCCATTTCATAAACACAACTGAAAACCAATATCTGAACATAATCAAAAGTTAAAGAGGAAAAGTGCATACTTGGAGTTGAGGAGGGCAGGGATCAAAGAGATGATGGGCATGAGTTGGGTAGGGGATTGGAAGAGAGGAGAGCGGCGGAGCTTGGTTAAGCATTTCTTGACTAAGGATTCAGAGTTGGAGAACGTTGCTGCGAGCAATAGAGGGAAGATTGTATTGTGGTCGGCGGGAAGGTTGATGTTCATAGTCCATGAAGATTCAGACTTGCTTTTCATTTTGCGGCTTCTCTTGTTCTTCCCCTCCTCTTGTCCTTCCATTTCTGTGCTGTGCAAATGCTCCTGCAATCTCCTCATCGTCTATTGTGGCCGTCCGGCGACGGCGGGGGTTGAATTTGCAATGAGAGGACCAACACTAGAACATTTTGGGAAAGGATGAAACGTGATTAGTCAATTTGGCCCTTAAACGTTTTTTGAAATGAAAAATAAACCCGCAAAATTTTCTATCGAATCAAATAGACCCTTTAGCTTAGTATATGAAAAGTTTACTAATTTCTTGTAATTTATTTACAAAAAAGAGAAATGGGGCAGATGACAGCACTTTTTTTTTTTTCTTTTTTGAACGGTTTTAATTGGGGGAAGGGATTCGAACCCTAACCTTGGATTGTGATACATTTAATATTTGGGTTTGGAGTCGTAGGATCACGAGGCATAAGTAAAACATAAGTGCAAATTATGGTATATTCAATCATTGAAAAAAGAGATAAACCCATGATATGAGAGTTTTACTTTTTCATTAATAATTAATTGTTTTGTATGAATTGTAAAATAACATTATGATTTATTTTTATGAATTTTGTAGCATCTAAATATACTAGTAGTTATTTTCCAACTTCTTTGCTTTAATTTTATTAATCTATGTTTTTGTAATGATTTCATTTTGACATTAGAATAAGTTTTAACGTGGTTCCAATTTGCACTTAATGTTCATGATTTAAACTTGAAAGTGTGTTATTTATTTCTTTTAAAGACCATTTATTTGTTATCCAAAAAAGTTAAATTCTTGCACATTAATTCATAGAGACTTTTGTGTTTTAGAAGACACCAGTTAGTTCGATTTACCTAGTTCATTTACATGTTCGCATAATGATTCAGTTTTGGTCCTGAAGTTGGTTGCCAATCATCACAATTTGTATTGACTTCTAATGCCATTAGTTGTCAACCCAGTGTGCTATTTATCACTCTGTTTATGAGATTTTTCTTTATCCCTAGTGCATGAAGGAATGAGGAAATTTTTTTTTTTTTATATATATATATCTTGAGTTACACAATAAAAGTTAGTCATTTCTTATTTTTTTACCCAACTTACTTACAGGTCATGTAACTCAAAATTAAGATTTTTTATTTTTATTAGAAAAAAATTATCACTAAATTACTTAATCGTTAATAAAAACGAGAAAATTATACAAGCATAAATGGAGTTGTCATTGTGCACGAGATATTATAAGTGGCTCTGCATGCAAGCAAGATCAATCATAAGAGGAACATTTTTACTTTGATTCGGAAGTATAAGAGGAACTTTGATTAAACAAAACCTGTGCTCTCTGGTTAAACATAGATCAATCTCAATTCTGTGAATTTGGCAAATGGCAACAATAATATCAAAATTATGAATTAAAAAACGCTTTTGGATTTAAAATATCAATGGACCAAGCAAGACCAACACAGAGCCTGGGTGGCAACGCAGCAGGTGCTCCACCCTCTGATACAATCCAAGGTTTAACACCCCTTTATCCTTCTTCCCCCTCCCAAACCTCCCCAGGAATTCCATTACTTAAAAAAAAGGGAAAGAAAAAGAAGTGAAGTTACATGATGCATGACCTGACCAAACAGAACAAATCACAAATGTACTCGTAAATTTCACAAAATTCAAACACTCATTTATCTGGAGACAATGAGTTGAATCAGATAACCATATTCATACTTTGATTGACCATATAAAGGATGGAGCAATAGACATTCAACAGAAGCTATTGGATACATAAGCTCAGAACTCTTTACTTGGTTTAGCACAATCTCTAGAGAGATTAATTTTTACAAGTCTGAAGCCTGATTCAAATGGGATTTGTCCATACTACCAAACCTTCTAGCAAGCATAAGCCTTATAACATATGAATGCAATTTACAGTTTACACCTTTTGTGACGAGGAAAGCTAAAATGATACCTCTACTTCTGTCACAAGCTAACTCCTAGTGGATCCAGCAGCAAGTTTTGCCAGCTCCCAGATACTGAAAATGGCTGGACGAAGTTTGGAATCATAAGCATCGCAGTTCGAGGGATTCTCTGATCTGAGTAAAAACGGTCACACACCTAATGATTTAAACACGTATTACAGCCTTCTCCTGAACTTTGGTTCATCTCCAAAATCCACATGGAATGTTATTGAAAATGAGTTTCTCTATTCAAGGCAGCAGGATTACCTCATATTTTCACATGCTGCAGTTAGCAATCCCTTGCCCTCAACTTGAATAAAGTACAAAAGGCACTGCAGTTCAAAGTGAAGCAAAAACAGAAAAACACAAGAGAATAGCCCTTTATTAGCATGGCTTTTAAATAAAAATCAAAACATTATCTCACTCAAAGAATCTGTCAATTTAAAATGTCCAACTGTATTTAGTCATAATCAAAACTTATTAATTTTATGCACTGAAAAATCTTTTCTACCAGATTACTTCATTATTCAAATACTTCAAGAGAGAGAACTTACCAATTAAAAAAATAGCTATCATCAAAGCAAGTGTAAATTGCAGGGAACAACTCATCTGCAATTGCACTGGACTTTGTAATTGTCTTTGCAACCCCCCACCCCGACCAAAAATCTGCAGAAGGTCAAGCATATCACATCATCATAATAGAAACACAGAACAGACATAAAGTATGCAATACATGTGCCACCCTCTTCCCATATAATCCTCACCACTCCATCTCTATATAGAAGGTAAAGGCTATTTGATGACATAAATTTACCAGATTTTGCAATCCAGATAATAACCTCACCGGATTTAATAACTTGAGTGCCCCCTTGGCCTGAGAAGGCTCTTGACATCTTTGTTTCCAAAAGAAAGGCTTTGAACCTTTTTCTTTAGGTGTGGCTTCAATGCCTTTTGTCAATTCATTTCTCTCTTCATATTTATCATCAATTACAATCTTCAAAGAGCCAAAATTTGGTGAAGTCCATATTCTCCTTGTACTGGTTGCATTTTCTTGTTGACAGGACGTATCATCAATCCTTCCAGAACTTACACTATCTTTTACTTGTATGATACACTCATAATCTTTAGAAATTTCCATTTCACATATATCTCCATCAGAGACAGCACTAGCATCAGCATCTGCCTCCTTTGTCTTGCAACAATTCTCCGAAAGAATGCCTTTTGCAGAAGGTTGGAAACTTGGGGACGTACCAGAGAGAAACACTGCTAGATCATCCCGTTCTTCTTCATCCAAATTTACCCAACGAAGAGGTTGTTTTCCCTCCTCAATAAAAGCTTCTCTCAATGCAGCTTCTACAAGAGAAATCTGGTTCTCAATTGCAGCAATAAACTGCTTGTGCCTAGTTGCCGTAATATCATCGCAACGATGTCCATGGCTCAACCTTGTAGCCTTCTCAAACTCTTCCAACTGAATTAATATTCAAGTTTAACCAATAGTGAATCTTATTAACAGGAACAAAATTGGCCAGATAAGGAGACAATGCAAAATGATTTTCAAAATAAACAGGTGAAAATTCAAAATGGTTTCTTTAACTTTCCTCACATTTACTAGAAGTAATGCTAAGGAGTCAATCCCCTCGTAAAAGGATTTATCACAAAAGCTACAAGAAAAGCAACACACCTGCCATTTTGCAGTACCTAATGCAACCTGAAGCTCTCTACAGAGTTCGGCAGAATCTGTTGTTGTCAGCCCTTGTTTTCTTTCTTTTACCCACATCCTGTATGCTGACTCCATTCTGAAAAATCAAAAAGAGCAAACCTGAGTTAAAGCTTAAGAATTTTAATTCTTTAATTTTGCAAAATAGTTTCTCAATGAACTGTTTACTTCCAAGAAAATTAACCATCAGAATCAGACTCAGCTCCTCTAATGCTTAGATAAGAATGAATATTTAATGATACACCCTAAATTATGCTGCGTTTACAGAAGCAGAAGCATTTGAAATTCTCCCTTTACTAACATTAAATTAGAATAACGAAAAATGCAGTTCCCTTCTGAAATAAATAATACAGCCAATAATCACATCCAGCAATCACAAAATTTTAGGACCTTCTACCAGTCACACTATTTTTCTCCTAGAATTTGCCACAGAAAGGTTCCCCTTTTCTGTTTCTTCCAGAAATTCCAGCCCAGAACAACTTACAGTGGAGAACCAACACTTGTAGTGCAGCCACCCCAAAAAAAACTCAAAACAATCATAGACCCAAGATCAAGTTCCCCAAAATCAACAATCAAACAAGCAAGTACAGATTTTTATGGCAAAATCAAGATATACACTATACAGTTCAGATGCCAAAGACCCATGAACCAAAAGATAGAACTTACATATCTGCGGATTCCTGAACCTCCTCGGCTGCAGAAAAGAAGGCGTCCTTTCGCCATAAATCAAAACTGTTTGCAACCATCATCTTAACTTGAACAGAAAGGATCTCGAATCCACTAGAGCACAACAAAAGATCACAAACATACGCTACAGGAAAAAGAACAGAGAGGTACTGCAAATGGGTCGTTTGATTGTTTCTCTTCTCTTCTCTTCTTCGCTAAGAAAGAAGCAAAGAAGGAAGAGAGAGAGAGAGAGAGCAAAAAAGAGAAACAGAGAGAGGAACTTGAAAGAAAGGGATTCTCTTTTTTATTTCTCCATTTCTTCTGTGCTCTGTTTCAACCTGTTTGGTTTGCAAGAAAAAAAGAAAAAAAGAAAAAAAGGAGGTTCTATACTCGGTTAGCAGAACCAACATGATTGATTCTGTTGGCCAATCATGTTCTTACACGTCAAGAAAAGAAATTCATATTTAACTCGATTTAGTGACGTGGCGTTTCGTTATTGGGTGGAACGATTAAAGATTGGTGTGAGTGAGACGGGGGAATAATTAGGTAACAAAATAAAGACGTCGGCAAGGTTGTAGTACTAGACTGGGGCAGGTGGGCTGGCGTTCTGCGGTGGCGGATGCGTTTCTTCGTAATTGGCCGGCGGCCAGCCCGTCCGCCAGCCATTTTACGTGGGTCCCATGAACACGACACTCATGGTAGTAGAAGTAATTTTCAAGAAACATGATGGGACGCAGATGCACGAGTATAATTTAATGAGTGGTGGTTGCGCAAAAATGAAAATGAGTGGGGATTATTTTACCAAAAAAATTCTTGTACTAATAAAAACGTGTTTTTTTTTTTTAAGAGTTTTTCTCACACAAAATAAAGATATATTTATTATATTTATTATTATTAATATATATAATAAAATTAAAAATTAATATTAATTTTATCAATTATTTAGTACAAATATTCATGTATTATATATGTTAAAATTAATGTTAATTTTTTTTATTTTTTATGTAAATTAATGTATGAAAAATACATTTAAAACTCTTTTAACATGTGACTTTAGATACATGCTAGACAAACTTTTTTTTTATATAGATGCAAAAGAAATTAACAAAACAAAAGGATAAAAAAGATGGAGACATATCAAAGCAAAAGCAAGGAAAATAAATTTTAAAGGATAGATTATGGGTGAATAAATTAAAAAGAAACAAAAAAAAAAGAGAAAAATTCCCCTGAAATAAAAGAAATCTTTACAGAAAAAACTCACAACTTTAAGCCTTTAATCCTAAGAAAGAGAGAGCGCGCTATGGAGCAAAGGAGAGAGCCAAGGTTTGGTTTTAGTAAAAACATGTTTTTAAATTGTAATATTTGTTAAAATTTTGAAATGAGTAATTGATAATTTAAGTAATATTTATGCTAATATGAGTTGATTTTAACTCTAATTTAATCATTTATGCTATGTTAACTAATGTCAACTAATGTTAATCACAATTTTGTAACAAACTAAGGATATCTTTCAAACATTTCAACTATGAAGAAAAGAAGAAATAATCAAATAATTTAATTTCCTTTCTTTCTTTTTTTTTTCATCTAATGATAGAATTATATATTATGAGATACTCTTATCTTTTTTTTTTCTTCAAAATTCCACCTGTTTCAAATTTTTAATTTAAGACATTTAATTTAAAATCTTAAATTTTTATTAATTGAAATATTTGCTCTCTTTTTTTTCTTTTTTTTTTGGGTGTGTTTAAGAAAAAATATAACTGAAAAAGGAAGCAAGGTTCGGTGTGACTAGATGAAACAAAGCCATTCCAACTGCTTCTCGAAATTGTCATTGCCATTAGGTTTGGTAACCTTTTCTAGTTGAGTGTAAAAGATAAGGACTGCTCTATTCGTCATGCTTTATTTATTTTTTCGGTGCTCCATGACTAGGATGGTTAGGTCTTAGGGACACACCCAAATAATGGCATACGTCAAACTCTGGCATCCATAAAACTATATTCTAACACACGCCATCTTTCTCTCACAAAACAAATTGGTAATGGTAAGCGCATTCCCTTTTTTTATTCTCATATTCCACCCCAAGTGTACCAAAATGGCTTTTCATACGATGATGAGCACTTCCATAATTGCTTTGAAATTAATATTTACAATAATTGAAGTCAAAGCCCATCATCCTAAAAATTTTCAATTACTTGGAGAGAAATATGGCCAGTTACGATGGCCCAAGTTGAACTTGGATTTTTTCATAAAATGAAATTGAGCATATCAAACACAAACACGAGGACCTGACCCATGTTGCCTCCCAAACCAAAACCCTACAATCAAATGCAATTTCAAATTCTTTAGGTCTCTTGCTTCTAAAAATAAAGTAATTAGCAGCTGTGGACCTTGATCTGTTGTTGCTAAAAACCTTCAAGACCTTCCTTGCTCGGATCTTCTTGTCCAATAAACTTGCAAAGATCTGAGGGAGATTTTCAGGATAGACACTCCGATACTTAAATCAGCAATAATCTACACTTAGGGTTTTTTAGAGAGAGCAAAGTGTATTAAAGAAAAATGCTCAAGGAAAAGTTCTATACCTTTGAGGGGTGTGGGGTATTTATAAATTCGTTGAGAGTGTTTAATACGTGTTGCACTTATGTTAGTCCCTTTGGATCTATTTAAGATTAAATGAGCTGCATCGTAACTCATGTATGTGCTCCTTTATATTTGGCTCTCATGGACCTTCATTGTGTTTATGGGCTTGTTAGATTACCATCCCTACATGATCCATTAACAGGTTTGAAGAAAATGAAAGTGGGAGGAAGATTTTTTAATTCATTAAATTATAATAATTTTAAATATTATAATTTTAATTAATTAAAAAATCTCCTTTTCATCTCCTTTTCTGCTCTCCCTTTTATTTTCTCCAAACCGAACAAATTGTAAGTGGAGACATGCTTTTTCAAATTCTTGGGACCATGTAAACTAGAAATTGAGAAATATGGAACCAAGAAAAAGTGATAGATTCTCCCAAACTAGGGTCAAAAATTGCAACAGAAAAGATACAAAAATTCATTGCTTATTCAATATAATTTTGCATATGGGTCTAAAGAATCTAATTTTGACAGCTTGATCAAATTATTAATGGCTACGCCTCATTCTCTACACTACACCTTTTGGTCAAGATTCTGACCTTTTCTCTCTTCTGATTGCCAAAAATCAGTATCAGATTCTTATATACGTTTTTTTTAAAAAAAAAAAAAAATCAAGGGCTACCATTTACTTGGGACAGAAACTCAAAGATATGATAGTTAATCACTTCCCAAAAACAAAAGTGCAATTTTTTTTTTTTTGATGGATCAAAAGTGCAAATTAATTTAGTCAAAAATACAGATATGAAAATTAATTATTTAGTAGAAATTCTTGCACCGTTGAAATTTTATCGTGTGACACTCGTAAGCAAATTTTAAATTGATAAAGTAAGAAAAAGATGTTATATATATAAATAACACCCGTTAACTGCCATTGCAGTGTTTTAAAACCCTAAAATCCAATAGACTATAATAAATGCTATCAATAGTGAATTGGTTCATTATATATATTTTGGTTGCTGTTTGTGCTTCCACAAGCAGGTGTTGGACTTGCACAGTGTCGTCTTCTTTGAATCAATTTATCTTGATTTTGGTCCAAAGTTGTTCACATCTAACATTTTAATATGAGTAATGATACACGGGACGATTTTGGGGGACGAAATTACGGAACGACAAGTGAAGCAATCCCAACAGCAATTACCAATTTAACCCTGCTTTACTTGTTGTCCCATGGTTTCGTTCCTCAAAATCGTCCCGCGTATCATTACTCTTTTAATCTAGTTTCATAGAAATGATCCAACAATTTAGAGTTTAAATCTTAATGTTTGAGATCTTAAATTCAAATATTGAGACAGGTGATGAAATGTTTGAAAAAAAAAAAACTATCTTTTTTACTGCCCATCATCAGGAGATTTATAATCTAGAGTTTCAGATCTTGACTCTGCTTCTACTTCATACATTAGTGAACAAGAGTTTTTGTAACTAGCGGTTCATATTAAAGAATAAAATCAATTCTCGAAACCCTCAAGCAAGCATTTTTTTGTCAAATAAGGTAAATTCAGTTTGATGCACACACAAAAATTGACTTTAAGTGGTTGATGAGCATCTGTCAAATAACCAAATATATATATATATATATATTTGGGTATGTAAATAAAAAATGAAAATATTAGCGAAAAAAGCTAGCACCCTTGAAAATATTCTAGCTTTGACTAGGAGGCACACCATTAGAAGGAGGTTGCGATGGCTTTTGTTGCTTGGTTTGGATAGATATAAGCATTTCTGCCTCTTCAATATCTTGACTGGGAGTCTCCATGAATTTGGATTCAAAGATATGATCAAAAATATGGGAAACAGACATCCCATTTAAGAATTATTTGTCCCAAATCTAGCAAGAGTGGAGATCTCTTATATTCCAATCCCATCATCGTGCCATTCATTTCTAACACCCTAAGAAGATGCCAATGGAAGGGATTTTTCTACATTAAAAGCAAAATACTCAGATTTAATTCAAATATCTTTTAAATAGGTTATACAATACGAGATAGTTATTTTTTGTCTTTTTTTCCATTCCATTTGAGTGACATGACTCAAACTTTAAAATCAAAATTTGAGGAGAAACTTATTGGGTTCAATGCATAGAGAAGAAAGTCTTGGTTTTCGTGGACTCCACTCGACAAGTTTTACAAGGGAAGCATAAAAATTACTAGTGTTTTTGTAGAAATAGCTTTAATTTTTGTGCATTGTGTTGTGGCTCCTTGAGACCAAGTAGGGCAATTGGGATCCATCGTGTATGGTGGGCTTGACAGCTTGAATGCCTTTCCAACTCAATATCAAAATTAACAAGAAAAAGGTTACTTTTTCTCATTATACAAGTGAAGACTTTCTTTGTGTGCTTTTGTTTCTTATTACTTCTTTTCCCAACACCAAATGGACCTCCTTTTCACTTGTTTATTTGTATTTGCTCTTATGCCCAATTTATCCCACCTATCTTATCCATTAAAACTTCTCTCAGCTCTCTTCCCAGAGCTTACCCAATTTATTAGGTAGAAATAGAATCCCCTGCAAAAGCAATGGTGTCAAGTCCATGTCCATTAGTCCAACAGTTCTATTAAACAATGCTACTAGTGGTATAACTTTAGGGTCATCAAAGCTTTTGCTTCCATCTTAAACAAATTGCGTGTTTAAATTGCACTTGACCCTTCAGGTCTAGTGGCATTAATCACATTAAAAAAATGTACATTTCCTCCTATCCCTTTGCTTTAGGTTTGATTCCGCACTTTGTAAACATGTTACAAAAAAATTACGTATTTAAATTACGTATTTAAATTACATCATATTTTATAGGATAATTGTTAGATGCATTTAATATTTTAGTAATAATTAAAATTTAAGTTACGATATTATTATATTAAAATTTTTTTTCTTATTTTAAATTGTAATTATTAAAAAAAACACACTGAATGTTCAAATTTGACTGTGTAGTTAAGTGTTGAACTTTTTTTTCTTTTTTTTTGAACCAAGGTAATTATAGGAGAAAAAGAAAAAAAAAAACCAGTTTATGAGTTGAAAAGACATCAATAACTTATAAATTAAATATAAATATTCAAATAATTAGTAAAACTTAAATTCTAAATCAATTCTATCTAAATATTAAAATTTAAAAACGAATTAATTGACAAAGGTCAATTTAATTTAGTGTAAACTTAACCTTCACTTGTCTAGTTGCCCTAGTTTGATTAAGTAGGTATGTCAGCTTACTTACAAGTAGATA